AGTGCTGCTCAGGTGGGCTGAGCCCTGTAAAGGTGAGCTGGCACCTGCTCAGGTGAGCTGAGCGCTGCTCAGGTGAGCTGAGCCCTGCTCAGGTGAGCTGAGTGCTGCACAGGTGAGCTGAGCGCTGCTCAGGTGGGCTGAGCCCTGCACAGGTGAGCTGAGTGCTGCTCAGGTGAGCTGAGCCCTGTAAAGGTGGGCTGAGTGCTGCTCAGGTGAGCTGAGTGCTGCTCAGGTGAGCTGAGACCTGTAAAGGTGAGCTGAGTGCTGCACAGGTGAGCTGAGTGTTGCTCAGGTGAGCTGAGACCTGTAAAGGTGAGCTGATACCTGCAGAGGTGAGCTGAGCCCTGTAAATGTGAGCTGAGTGCTGCTCAGGTGAGCCAGGGCACTTGGTCAGGTGAGCTGACACCTGCAAAGGTGAGTTGAGCCCTGTAAAGGTGAGCTGGCAGCTGCAGAGGTGAGCCAGGATACCTGTTCAGGTGAGCTGATACCTGCACAGGTGAGCTGAGTGCTGCTCAGGTGAGCTGAGCCCTGTAAAGGTGAGCTGTCACCTGCTTAGGTGGGCTGAGTGCTGCTCAGGTGAGCCAGGATACCTGTTCAGGTGAGCTGATACCTGCACAGGTGAGCTGAGTGCTGCTCAGGTGAGCTGAGCCCTGTAAAGGTGAGCTGTCACCTGCTTAGGTGGGCTGAGTACTCAGGTGAGCCGGGGGGCCCGCACCGCAGATAAACCAGTCACCTGCTCAGGTGAGCTGAGGCACCTGCTCAGGTGTGCCGGGGCACCTGCTCAGGTAAGCCACTTACCTACTCAGGTGAGCCGGGGGGCCCGCACCGTCACCGTCACCGTCGGGGCGGTGCCAGCCCGTGCCCGCGGCCGTGCTTCGGAGCTCGGGCCCGGCTCACCTGGGCTCAGGTGTGGCGGGGGGGCCCCGGGGGGGGCACCGTGCCCGGCTCACCAGGGCTCAGGTGTGGCGGGAGATCCCCAGGGGGGGTCACCGTGCCCGGCTCACCTGGGCTCAGGTGTGGCGGGGGATCCCCGGGGGGGGGGCACCGTGCCCGGCTC